GCTCTAGCTGATCCTTGTGGAGAGGAAGTTCAGGGCCAGTGCTGTCCAATTTCTACTCTCTACAGAGTTCAGAAAGAGGGACTTCTGTGAGGAAGATATTAATTTTGCTTTTATGTCTACTTATCAAATTAAATGCAGAGATAGGAAGATATCTTCCACCTGCTAGCTCACTAAACAAATGCCCACAAGAGCTGGAACTGGGTCAGGCTGAAGCCAGGGGCCAGGGACACCTGGGTCTCACACGGGAATGACAGCAACCCAACTGCTTTGAGCCATCTGCTTGCCACAGATTGTGCATTAGCAGCAACTAACTCAGGACCAATTCCGATATGTGGGCATCCCAAGTGGCATTTTAAACCCGCTCCTAAACATTCTAATTTTAAAACAAAGTATAGGCCAAAGTAAGCCTACATGTGACCAAAGTCAGGGAGCAAGTTAATCAAACCCCCACTCCTTCCCTCCTGTCTCCACCACCTTGACGCAGGCCTTCTCAACATTTCTTACCTCGCTTTATGCACAGCAGCCTCAATCCCCAACTCCACTCCCACCCATGCATCCTCCACGCTACCTGGCAGCTTTCTAAAGTCAAATCTGATCCAGTTGAAGCTCTTCAGTGACTGCTCAGACTGTAGAGCTCAAAGATGTGCCTAAACCCTCCTGTGGTATCTGTTCCATTTGCAGATAGTAACACTGTCCCACGTAAAGCTAAAAAGCACCTAGGAATTTACCAAACACCTTCCCCAGATGTCTCTGACACCAGTGGCTCTTGGATGGCAAAGATGCTAATTTTGCTAAATGCGAAACTTCTTCACGTCAAATCATCCCCTCCAACAGGACTCCCCCTCCCCTGCAGTCTCATCCCTTGTCCCTCCTGTGCCTAAACACGCTCCCTCTTTTCCAGGTCCCAGCAAGCCCTCACACGGCTGTGTCTCTGCACTCCACTGCCTTCCCCCTTCACTCAGCGACACGGAACCTGCTCAGCCTTCATCCTTCAAACTAACCTTTGCCCCTTGACCTCCACACCCTCTGAAGTCCTTCTCAGCTCTGATCCATCCACGCCCTGGGAGCTGCCTGCTCTCCCCTCCCACAACACCCAACCCTTCCCTAATGCCATCACTTAACTATTTATAACTGTCTAGTTATACACCCAGATGCCACCAAACTGGGTTCTCTGAAGTGAGAAACTGCAGTTCAGCTAATTTTACAGGCTCAGTGTTGCACCTGACAGAGCAGTCCCTTCATAAACACTTTTCAAACAAACAAAATCAAACTGTATGGGGGAGCAGATGGCATCGAAGTGAACCAGTGGATGGGGCTCTCTGTCTCTGTTTCTCTCGTATGTCTCAGCTCTCAATAAATTAGTCATTAAAAACCAAAACAAGGGCCCGGTGCAGTGACCTAGTAGCTAAAGTCCTCGTCTTGCATGTGCCTGGATCCCATATGTGTACCAGTTCTAATCCCAGCAGCCCTGCTTCCCATCCAGCTCCCTGCTTGTGGCCTGGGAAAGCAGCTGAGGATGGCCCTGTACCCATATGGTAGACCCAGAAGAAGCTCCTGGCTCCTGGCTTCAGACAGGTGCAGCTCCATCCATTGAGGTCACTTGGGGAGTGAATCATTGGATGGAAGATCTTCCTCTCTGTATATTGGACTTTGCAATGAAAATAAATAAAATATTAAAAAAAAAACCTGCATTAACCAGCGAAGCTGAAGACCAAATTCCGGCTGTGTAGCATGTTCATCAACATGTCAATGGTCTACCCTTGAAGACTTGGTAATTATTACTGTAATTTACTAGTAAATAAACTACCAGTTACCATGATTTGTGAAATCAGTTTGTTCTTATTGTCAACCAAGTCAATGAACTCCTATAATAGGATGAAACTATATTCTTAAAAGTAAACAGGTTGGGGCCCAGCACCGTGGCCTAGCGGCTAAACTCCTCGCCTTGCATGCCCAGGATCCCAAATGGGCCCCGGTTCTAATCCCGGCAGCTCCACTTCCCATCCAGCTCCCTGTTTGTGGCCTAGGAAAGCAGTCAAGGATGGCCCAAAGCCTTGGGACCGTGCACCCGCGTGGGATACCTGAAAGAAGTTCCTGGAACATGGCTTCAGATCAGCACAGCACTGGCAGTTGCAGTCACTTGGGGAGTGAATCATTGGATGGAAGATCTTCCTCTCTGTCTCTCCTCCTCGCTGTATATCTGACTTTGTAATAAAATAAATAAATCTTTAAAAAAAAAAGTAAACAGGTTGGTTCACAGTACACCTCTCTGCAGCAAAATGAAACAATGTGAAGCCAGCAGCTACACTAGCAAGTAAGCCTGGACTGGATGGCTGAGGCACATTGCAGCAGCCAGTGAACCCTCAAGAGGGGGGGAATCCCTCAGCTACAAAGGTTTGCACTAAAGTCAGGTAAGATGGAGGGCAGGAATGACAGGGCACAAGAGAGTGAAAACCCTCAAGATCAAACAAAGGATCTGCGGTACAGACAGCGACCAGTGGGGCCTTAAACCCCTGACATCTTCACATTCAAAACACAGAAATCTCCTCATATCACCTGCATGTCCAGCGCCTTCTTCCACACCCTTTTACATTTTCAATCCATCAATATTTTGCTGAACAAGATGGCTACAGGCCCTGCCCTCCCAGAACTCCTATCCTCAATGAGAAAGCAGAGATTCAACTAACCAGTCGACTGTTTAATCAAACTGTGTTAAGCAACATAATGGGGAAGGCAAGTGCTAGCAGGGCACTAACACAATCCAGTGCATGCTTTCTTCAGCACTGGCAGCCGGTACAGAAAGCTAATAAACAGTCTACACAGCACCCTTTTTAGCAATAATTCTTACATTAACTGTCAGGCGTGCAACTGTCGCTTTCAGACAAACCTCCAAGGAAGATACAGAAATGAAGCTATTTGAAAAGCAATTTCTTTCATCAACTGCTTTTAAAGTATGAGTTTTTCTCATCTCTTTACTCTGCTATGAAAGGTCACAGCAAAGAAAAAAGGTCTCTTGAGGATTTTGAGTCCTTACCCATTTATAATGTTTTAATTTTAAAAAATCAATAATATTTAAAAAAATCATTTTGGGGCCTAGAGCGATAGCCTAGGGGCTAAATCCTCACCTTGATCGCACCAGGATCCCATTTGGGCAGTGGTTCTAATCCCAGCTGCTGCACTTCCCATCCAGCTCCCTACTTGTGGTCAGGGAAAGCAAAAAGGACAGCCCAAAGCCTTGGGGCCCTGCACCCACACGGGAGACCCAGAAGAAACTTCTGGCTCCTGGCTCCATATCAGCTCAGCTCTGGCCATTGCAGCCATTTGAGAAGTGAACCAGCAGACAGAAGATCTTTCTTTATGTATCTCCTTATCTATATATTTGCCTACCCAATGAAAATAATAAATAAATCTTAAAAAAAAAAAGGCACCTCAATAGCAGAAAGAAAAAAGGCTTCTACGCACAACTCATATTCCAGCAAAATTAACCCCACTTGTTTCTTTCCCTTTGGACGCTTCTAGATCTGTCACAGCTCTAAATAAAGAAAATACTTGAAAAATGTAGAGCTCCTAAGCCTTTTTTCCCCCCCAAGGAACTCCACATTGTGACTAAAACACCACCAGCAACGTGTATTTTCATGACCACTAGACACTTGCTAAATCGACCTTTGTTTTCCAGGATAGGAAATCTGCTGTCAGACACAGGGACTAAGATAAGAGAAAAGTGGGGAACAGAAAACCACGCTGAAATTTCCTGGTAACAGGACACTCGACACCCAACCAGTAGAAAAAATAAGTTTAAAGAAAGGCTGCCTCTAAGATAAATGACATTCCTGGTGGCGCTGCCACCCATGAAACAGGATCAGCAGTTACTGACAAAGGCAGGATTTACTAGGGCGAAAAAATGTTTTCTCTGTCAATATTTACAGTGCTGAACAGATAACAAAAAAGGGGGACAGGAGGTTAAGACAAAACGAAGTGTCTGGTTAACAGCTTCAGAAAGCTGTAAGGCCCCCCCACACACACACACACCCTCTCCCATCTGAGTTACAAACTTCACTTTGAGCCACTGATGGTTTTAGGACCTCATCCGTGTTCAGCATATCACACTACAATAGTTCTTGGGAAGAAAGGATTATATTGCATGGCCTTCAGGTCCACTTACAGTTTTGTTGTTTGTTTGTTTGTTTGTTTAGCCAAAGCCAATCCCAGTTTAGCCAAAGCCTTAAGACTTTTTTCAGGTTACTCATTCATTCCCCCTACTAACAGCAGCATGGAACTCATCATGGTGGGTGGCAGGTAGTGGCTGTCTGGCTGCTGAGTGGCCAGTCTTTGAAAAAGAGTTCAGCAAAGGAGACCCCAGATTTGCAGGAAAGTTAACCAGTAGCACGAAGGAGATCATCATCACGTGCCAGGCGCTTCCCAAACCCGGACCCATCCTTTGCACGGAAGAAATTCCCACCCGCAGCTCACCCAAGTCAAAGGGGAGCTGAATGGGGTTCAAGCGCCCTGCCCAGGAGGGCCAAATGCCTTAGGCACCAGGCCGGTAGGCAGCAGGCAGCAGACCAGGGTCCTTCCCTTGCAAGCTGACTTCCCGGGCGTCCATGGGAGGGGACAGCGCACCAGTGGGGTGGTCTCAGGTACGCACTCCCCTCCCCGAACTCCACCCCGCAAAAGATAACCTCCGTCTCCGACGTCGTTAGTGCAAGGGAGGCAGGTGAGAGGTCCATTCAAATAGAAAGCAATTAATGCACCGCTGGGAGAATGGCATCCTTTCCAGGGAAACTCAAAAGAATCAGAAAATCCTCTGGCTCCCTTTTTTCCGTGGGGGTGCTCCCTGCCCTCGAAACCTCAGGACTCGCAAGACTGTTCCCCACTCCCCATGCCCGGAGCCCGCCCGGAGCCACGCGGCACAAGGTGACACGGACCGCGCCGGCCCCTCAGCCGCCTGGGCGAGGCCGGGGCGAGGAGGGACAGGAGGGGCGTCCGCCAGCCCTCGCTACCTTGTACTTATCAAAGCCAGCCAGCTGCTCCTGGCTCACGTATTCATAGCCAGCCATGACGACGCGAAAGCCGAGCGCCCACTCGGCAGCGACTCTCCTCCTGCGACGAAGCGCTGAAGCACCACAGCACCGCACAGCACAGCACAGCACACCGGCCGCGGTCCAGGATGGGAAGACCTGGGCTGGCCAAGAGGGCTGGAGGATCCGCGCTCCGCCCACCGCGCACGCGTCGCCGCCGCGGCCTCTTCCGTCGCCTGCCAGCGCGCATGCGCAGCCCTCACGGCTCCCCGCCCACCGAGAGAGGGTTGCCAAGCCCTCTCCTGCGGCCCCTGGCTTGGCGTCGTCGCAGTCCAATCGGCGCGGATCGGACAACTCTAAGTCCCGCCCCCCGGCTGTTCTCGTCTTTTCATTCGCTAGCGTCAAAATTGGTGAGCTGAGGTAAGGCAAGGAGCGGAAGCGCAAGGTCAATTTCCCAGTGGGCTTTGCTGCTTGGCCTCTAGGGGCAGGTGGAGTGTGTGTGTGTGTGTGTGTGTGTGTGTGTGTGTGTGTGTGTGTGTGTGTTCCTGTGTGTGTGTCTGTGTGTGTTCCTGTGTGTGTGTGTGTGTGTGTCTGTTCCTGTGTGTGTGTCTGTTCCTGTGTGTGTGTGCGTCTCTGTGTGTTTGTGTGTGTGTTCCTGTGTGTGTGTGTGTGTGTGTGTGTGTGTGTGTGTGTGTGTGTGTGTGTGTGTGTGTGTGTGTGTGCGTCTCTGTGTGGTCCTAAGCCGCTGGGTGGGCACGTGGGTGGGAATGTGGAGCCACAGTGCTGCCAGGCGTGGCCCGGGGTGTGAGTGCCTGCGGGCCAGGTCAGGGTCGCCTCGGTTAGGACGTCCCCTCCCTGCGGTGAAGAGCCAGCCGGAACAGGTCTATGGACAGCGGCCTTGGGGCTCCCGCTCCTCCGCCCTGCTGTATGCGGTGGCACCTTGGTAAGCCTGGTTTGATGTGGAGCAGGCTGGGCTCCTACACTAGCTGGGTGAGGCTCTGTGCGCCCCATAAAAAACTTCAGAAGCTGGGTAAGGGGCCCTCAGCACCTGTGAGCCTTGCACCTGCTTCTGATCACTTGTCGGCTTCCGACCAGAGAGCAGACTGTCCCTGAGACAGCTGCAGTCTCCCCAGCAGATCCAGGCGCTGATCTCAGCCCCGACTGGTCCATACATGCCATGGCAAGAAGTGTTTACACGTTTGCTGGAGCCCAGTTGATCCCTGGATACTGTGTATCTGGTGACAATCAACTCTAATAAGAGTTGCTACTTTCAATAGAGCGCCTTCTGAACAGAGAACTCTGACGTACATTGTCGCCAACCATCATGACAGCATAATGCAGTGGAAGGTCCCTGGTCTACTTCTCAGTTCAGGAAAATGTAATCAGATTGCATAACCCGTACAGAGGCATCACAGCAAAAGCAGTTAAGCCACCTTCTTGGTGAGCTTCTGGGTCTGTAAAAACATCCCCTGATGGCTTGACTCCACTCCCCTGGTTGTTTTGTTGTTGTTGTTGTTGTTTCTTTTGGTAGATTTATTTTCCTTATCAGAAATGCAGATTTTACAGAGAAAAGGAAAGATAAAAAGATCCTCCATTCTCTGAATTACTCCCCAAGTGGCCACAATGGCTGGCGCTAAGCCAATCCAAAACCAGGAGCCAGAGGCTTCCTCCAAGTTTCCCATTGGGGTGCAGGATCCCAAGGCTTTGGGCCATCCTCCACTGCTTTCCCAGGCCACAAGCAGGGAGCTGGATGGGAAATGGTGCAGCCGGAACATGAACCAACACCCACATGGGATCCCAGCGCATCCATGCAAGGTGAGGATTTAGTCACTCAGCGTGAACCATCACACTGGACCCTCCTTTTTTTTAAATGTTTTTATTCAGTTCCTGTAGTTTACTAACTTTTTTTTAAAAGATAGACAGAGATCTTCTATCCACAAATTCATTACCCAAATGCCCTCATCACAATCAGGGCTGGGCCAGGTCAGAGCCAATTATCACAAACCCAAATCCCCTAGTAGGCAGCCCCTGATTGGGAACCAAGGAACCTCAATATTGTGCCATATGGTGGCTTCTTTGTTTTTATTGGAAAGGCACATATACAGCAAGAAGAGATAGAAAGATCTGCCTGCTGGCTTGCTCCCCAAGTGGCCACAATGGCCAGAGCTGAGCTGATCTGAAGCCAGGAGCCTTCTCCGTGTCTCCCTTGCAGGTACAGGGTCACAAGGCCCTGAGCCATCCTCTATGGCTTTCCCAGGCTACAAGCAGGAAGCTGGAAGGGAAGTGGAGCAACCTGGACAAGAACTGGCGCCCTTACAGGATCCTGGTGCATGCAAGGCACGGATGGCTGTGCCCTACCCTGGCCCCTTGAGGTACCATCTATATTTCTCACCTTCCTTTATTCAACACTTACTGGAGTCCCAAAATATATGAAGCCCATTATTCTTGCTTTATGTCTTATTTCCCCTCTGAAAGGATAACATCTTTAGGATGTAAGTCAATAGCAGTTCATCTAGTGTTTCTGGCACAAGGTAGATCATCAATACACTTGAATGTCCTTTGTCAAAGTTGCTCTCAAGGGGGAAATGTGTATCTTGATACCTCTTCATTTCCCCACAGTCCTGTTGCCCAACTACTCACAAATAATGCATGATCAATTCATTTCATTGGATATGTGCAGTGATCAGGATATGTTGTGAAGGACCAGTTGTGGAGAAAGGCAATAGAAAGATTTCACCGGGTTTTGAAAGAAAATGGGCTCAGAGGAAAGGAGAACTAAGAAACTGCATCCTTCCCCCAAGATTCCTCCTTTATGCAAGGACTATAATTAAATCACTCCTGACCACTAAATGGGCAAGCTTTTGTATTGAATCCAGACAGAGCCGGGGACAATTTATTTATCAGTCTGTGCAGCCAAGAAATGCCACTATTTATGAGAAATAGCTGATTTCCTCTACCGTGCTTCTGCTAATCAATATAAATAGAATAAAAGGGAAAACACCTGCCATCGAATGGCATTAAATGCAAGCATTGCACTTAACCTTGAGATATAAACCTCATTCATGCAAAACACAGTTACCTGCAGAGAGCCATAAAACAAGATTGGAGTACAAACGAATAATAATTCATCAAGGGCAGTTATTGGTAATACCTTCAGATGCCAGCAGACCCAACCCCTTACATATTTTCTTCAGAATTTCTCCCAAAGAGCAACTTGAATTCTGTGAGAGCTGTTGGAATTTGCTGCTTCCCTGCTGAAGGTTAGCAGAAACTGAGCTCCAGTGTCCTAAACCAACACACAACACAGAACCCTGTTAGTAGTAGTAGTAATTGTATTATTGGTAGTATTATTGCTGTCAAGTCTGTTACTGGCTCTTTTATCCCAAACAACTTTCTTCACTTAGGTCCAGTTCCCCCATTTTTAAAAAGTGAGAGCCTCAATCTCTATGTAGTCTGAAATTAGTGAAACTGTTTTACTTAGTCTCTCTAAATCAGCTCATCTGGAAAAAAAGATACCCTTCCTTACTGTAACTACATAGCGCATGTTAAATGATTTTATTTAAGCCAGTTCAACTAATTGGCAGATGTCATCTTCCCTGAATTCCATGAATCTAAGGCCTGGATAAACCCTAGTAGGAACTTTGACCCTGAAAGAGAAAATTGTCAAGGAAATGGATCTTTCTCAGTGGTTTCCTAAGTTTCCTTCTAGGAAGCTTTTATCTCGAAGGCACTTCAGAGCCGCCAGCAGCTGCTTTATGTTGGCCGGTTTTTTCCACTGTCTGCACTGAGCTGTTTTATCCCTCAATGCTGAGCTTGGCTTTTTGTTGCCTTGTTTCCCTGTCTGCCTCCTCATCCATTACAATTTATCTCTTCCACGTCTCATGCACTAAAGGCATTTTTCCTTCCAGAATGATTGTCACAGAAATCAACCAATTCATTATGGAAGCAATATTGTCATCTTTGTAATATAACCTGTTTTTAAAAAGTTTCAATGTTTGGAAATCCTGTTTTGTTTAAACTGAAGAGTATTTTAGATAAATAGAGTTGGAAAAACGGAAGTTAAAGGGCTAATACAATTAGTAATCCCAGTATAAGTTTTGGAAGTCTTCACAATGAGAAAGGTCTTAAGTTTATCAAAAGACATTAGATGTATTCTTTCTTTAAGATAGAAGCCATGCCTTAGCTTCAAAATCCGTTTCTCAAAATAGTGTAACATTCCTAGATCCCTCTTGACTGTAGGCCAGGCAGATGGTTGTTCCAGTTATAAAGAACATAGTAATAGAAAAGGTATGTGTGTATCTTGCCCACAAGTCGCCCAATTTGCTTCCAATGAAACTGGAATTATAGATAAAGGGGGGAGCAATATGGTACAGCTGATTCAAATATTGCTTGCTATACCAGCATCCAAAAGCCAGGGATAGCCCAGCTGCTCCACTTCCAGTCCAGCTCCCTGGCCTAGGAAAAGTATTTGGGCCCCTCCACCCATGTGGGAGACCAGAAAGAAACTCCTGGCTTCTGCCTTCAGCCAGGCTCAGTACTGCCAGGGTGGCCATTTGGAGAGTGAACAAGGGGATTGAAGATCACTATCTGTGTGTGTCTCTGTAACTCTTCTAATGAATAAATAAATCTTTAAAAATAATAGCACAGATCTACAGCTCAGTGGGGTGACAATAAGTCATCTTAATATATTATATGCTACATGAAGTACCAAAAAAGAAGAGCTCTTAGGCGCCAGACATAGAGATGAAATGGAAATAGTGACTACCTGATTTGACTAGTTTTTACTATATAATATATTGAAATAATTGTAATAGACTTCCATAAAAACAAGTGTTACATGTTAAGCATCTTTTAAAGTTTTTTTAAAATATTTTATTTATTTTTATTGCAAAGTCATATATACAGAGAGAAGGAGAGACAGAGAGGAAGATCTGTCTGATGATTCACTCCCCAAGTGCCACAATGGCTGCAACTGAACCAAGCCAAAGTCAAGAGCCAGGAGCCTATTCGGGGTTTCCCACATGCAGGTGCAGGATCCCAAGGCTTTAGGCCATTCTTGACTGCTTTCCCAGGCTGCAAGCAGGGAGCTGGATGGGAAGTAGAGCTGCCGGGATTAGAACTGGTACCCCTGTGGGATTCTGGTGCATTTAAGGCAAGGATTTTAGCTACTAGGCCAC